GTAGAGATACTCAAAATTGTCTACGAACGAGACGATATTAAGACTACTTTAACCAATCGACTTAAAATAGGATCGAAATTCATCCCAATAAAAGAATATATTAAAAGTAATAATACAATCGAGCCTTGGTATTTTTATGAGAAATGTAATGATTTCAACTTCAACAGAGGGTTTACCACATTCAAATGCCAATATAGAACTTGCCCTATTTGTGGCCAGGAAGCTTTACATGAATGCTGTGTTTTATATAAACAGAACATAGAGTATTGTAAATGTATTTATCGATATACATTAGCATATCCATCTACCTTCTCACCAGATAGAAGCGTTGCAACATGGGCAAAGTGTCCATTTTATTGTACCAAGTATAACGAAGAAACATTTAATGAGCATTTGACAAGTTGCCAGAGCGTGATCACAGAAAAACTCAGAATCATATTCTTAAAGGTCGAGGTACACCCAAGAAAGAGTAATGCTATAATCACATGACCTCTAATAATCGATCTCAATAGAGAACATTGTGAAAAATGTGATAGTATACACAGTCCCTCAGACTCATGTTCTTATGGGTGGTGATGTAATAAGCTCTAATATAGATAGAGATAGTTGTAAAATTGAATAACCAATCAATAAAGTTTTAGCTTGATAAAACATGTGATTGATGATCATACACTGCCGGACTGGAGTAGTTAGATGGGACTAACCATGTCCAACTCATAGCTCTGGTCTGCAGTGTATGATCATCGATTACATCTTTAATTCTAAACCAAAAATACTGTATTGCATAGTTAAATAAATATAAATAAACCAGATTTAACCTTACGTAACAAATGACAATGTCCAAATCATGCTGCCATCCAATCATATCATATTTTGTTAAAAGAGTTTGTAAAATATGCAATCGAAAATTCTGCTTATCAAATATCAGTACGATGAAAACACATTTCATCAAAAGCATAACGAGATCTGGTGCCAGATTCGCTATCATCTATTTAATCGACCAAGGGTTGATAATAAAAAACATTCGATAATATTTTATTTTCGTAAAAATAAATGTTTAGTCTGTGGATATATGTTTCGAACAAACCCCAAAGTATCGACCATGAAAAAATATTTCGCCACAAAACATAATGATGATTGGAGAGAATATGTTAAGAATGAAAAATTTAGTGAAAAGTTACTTCTCGAACAAGAAACTAGCAAAAAGAGTGTAAAGAAACCTAATACAAGTGATCTGATTCAAAAACTTCAAACCACCAAATCTGTAGAGAAAAAAAATATTGTTAGAGGAAACAAAAATGTTAAAAAACCTTATGTTATCGTAAAGAAAAGTGATTCTCCTGTGACAGGTTTAAACCGTGAAATTATGAATAAATATTTTAATCAATATAACATGATCAATATGTTTCGCTGTAATTTTTGTAAAGAGGTTATCTCACCAGAATTGCTTAGATTACACTTGGTATTAAAATGTAAATGTAGATTATGATAGGTATTATCTCTTGTAAAGTTTTATTATAAGTATAAATTCTAGTTACGATTACTAGTTTATAAGATTTGATGTGTAATCTTAATAATTATAAATAAACTTGTAAGATTATAATAAGAAATTAACTATGCTTAAGGCTATGTTTGCCAGGTCATCATTGTTTAAACAAATAATCAAATCGACCAAAGAACTTGTAAATGATGTAAATTTTTGATTTACGGAATCAGGTATAGAGTTCAGTACCATGGACGGGTCACATATTTCATTCATCTCAGTTTACCTTGATTATGACAATTTCCAAGATTACACCTGTGAACGAGAGATAACAATCGGCATTAGCCTTGTAACATTAGGCAAGGTATTAAATCAAGCGAGTGACAATGATACCTTAACCCTAAAACTTAAAGAAAATACTACTGATAGATTATATGTGATATTTATAAATCCTGACAATAGTAAAGAGACCAAATATGAGATCGGGTTACTTGATATCGACCAGGAGCAAATTGATATACCAGCAGTTGTATACAATGTATTTATTGAAATAGCATCCGGTGAGTTTAAAAGAATATGCCAAGATCAAACAATCGCAGGAGATCACCTAACCATAACTACTAATCAAGAAACAGAGGTTGTGAATTTAAATATGAAGGATGATATTAACATCAGGTGTACAACTAAACTAGAAAAAAATGATAGCATTACAAATAATAAGATAACGATCATGATAGGAGAAAATATCAACATGTCATTTTCTCTAAAATATCTGATAAGTTTCACCAAGGCATCTATATTGTCTCAACAGGTAAAGGTCTGTATATCAGATATGATACCATTGCTTATTAAATATGAAACCGGAAATACGTATATCCATTATTACCTAGCACCCAAGGTTAAAGATGATTAATTTACGATTTAAATAAATATATTTATTTACTAGAATTAAAATAAATAAATAAAATACA